GAGCCCCGCGGATCCGCCCCACTCGCAGTCTCAGGTCGCCGCCGGCTGGGAAGCCTGGCAGGCTCCAGCGCACAAGCGGGATCCGAGGGGCCTGCTGGCCCGCCCGCCGGCTCCCAGGAGATCCCACCTCCAAAGAAACTCCCGTTGGGGTTCTGAGTTCAGTCTACCCGGGCAATTGTCTGGACAATTTTAGGAAGGAGTTAAGACACTTGAAAAGGTGCTCGGTTCTGAGGCGGTTGCGACCCAGGCTCCTCCAGTCTAGATTTCGGTGGTGTGGGGCCTGGCTCTGCAGAGAGCGGCCATCGCCTTCCACTCGGCCTGTATTTGCTTTAAGGGCCGAGAAGGGGAACAAGTTTTGCAGATGCACCCGATCTGACCAGCAGACAAAGGCGGGTGCTGGGCTGAGTCTAATGTACACACCAGCTCCGTGTCCGCACGGCTGAGGGGAGTCAGGGCCTGTTTGCAAAGCCTCTTGGTTTCTGTTTCCCTGCTGCGGCCGTCTTCCTGGGGACGTGGGGCCTGCGCTAACTCCAGCACTGTGGGTTTCTCCAGCCCCTCCTTGCTGTCCCCAGGCACACGGGCCCTCCTGAGGACAGTGGCAGCCTGGCCTCCGCCCAGGCTGACCGGGCGAGGGCCTTGTTGGCGCCGGGTTCTTCACCCGGGAGCGACGTTCTGCAGCACCCTCCGGCCTGCAGAGGCCCTGGTGGGGGTGGCAGAAGGCCTGTCCTGGAGGGGTGGCTCCTGGCGTTTGTCTTCTGCCCACTGCCAGCAAGGAGGTGCCTGTAAGGCAGGTGGTGGGGAGAGCAAGTGGGGCTATGCCTCTGTTGTCTCCAGGGCCCAGTGGCCGATAGTGCTGCACCATGGTGGGGGGCAGCCCACAACCAAGAGCCCACCCAGGCACTGCACAAGTCCTTTCAGGAACCCTGATCAGTCACTGAGTTAGGCTCCAGAGCAGGGAAGGTTTGGGGAACTCTCCCAACCTGGCAGAAACCAGGTCCACCCTGGGCAGCTGTGTCTTGAGTGATGTGTCGGAGGGAGCTAAGGAAATAGGAACTTGCCTGTGCCCCCAGGAAGTTGGGGAGACTCCACCTTCTGCCTATGAGGCCTCGGTCAGGCTGGAGGGCTTGAGGAATAGCCACAGGTTCAGCTGAAAGAGCCGTGGAGACTTCCCGAAATTACATGGCTACTGGTTTCACTTTGTTGGAGCCGGGAGCCGCTTCAGTCAAGCTAGGGAAGCTCTGCCAGGGGTACATCTTGGGTGCTCTGCTGCCACTCAGGCTGGGTCCGGGAGGCCAAAAAAAATCAGCAAAGGTAAGGTAGGTTTGTGCAAGCAAAGGTGGCTGGAGGCTGGGCTCCAAGCTTGGCTCCATTGCTAGGCCAGCCGTTTCTGTGTCCGGAGAAGGGCCCAGGAGGCTGCCTGGCCGCTGGACCCACAGTTGGGTAGGGGCCTACCCAAGTTAGAGCGACTGAGCCAGGGAGATGGAACTGGGGGTCTGGGCTGTCAAGCCGCCCACAGAGGCTGGAGAGAAGGGCCTAGCGGAGGGGCCGCCAGTCCCCTGCAGATCGAGGGGGGCTGCTTTCTCCTGCCGGAGATGACCGAGATCTCACCACCCCCAGGCGAATGTTCCCTACGTTTCAAGTAAAGCTCTTCGGCATGGATCCCATGGCCGACTACATGCTGCTCATGGACTTCGTGCCGGTGGACGACAAGCGCTACCGGTGAGCGAGCGGCTGTGTGCCTGTGGGAGCCGGAAAGGCACCCTGGGAGGCGGCCAGTCCTGCCTGGTGACACAGCTCTGAGTGCCACCCGTGCTGAGAAGCTCCTTAGTGGGCAGGTCCTCCCAGGCACCTGCTGCTGTCCCACCGATCTCTCTACCTGCTCACTCCTCTGTCCCTGCCACCCCCAAGCAGTGCTGAATGTCCTCTCTCCAGAACTGCCTCCGGGAGCCCCACCAGGAGCCCCTCCGGCTGCACGTTCCAGACAGCTCACTCTTGCCTGGGCCGGCATGGTCTCAGGCGGGTGGGCTGAGTGCACAGCCCCAGTCTCCCTCTCCCATGAGGCCATCCTGAGTGCCTTGTCCCCTTCCCCCATCTCCAAGGAACGCTGGGCTCTGGAGCTGGGCCGGAAAGGTGGGGTGGCCTGGAGAGATTATGCAGGGCGGGCCTCTGTGGTCGGACAATTAACAGCAATTAATAAACCAGAGTGGGCTGCCCCCGCACCTGAAACTGCCGGCAGGGCCAAATCCGGTCCGTTGCAGCGGCAGGGGGCGGGTGGACCCGTGTGGGGCGAAATGAAGTGATGAGAGGGAGCCCAACCTGCTTCTTGCATCCCGGTTCCCCGCTTGTTTTTTCGGGAACCTGCTCCTTTTCGGGAATCCCGATCCTCGCTTGTTTTGTGTGTTGGGTGGCAGGTGGGAGTTTTCTGGTTTTTCCACGACCCTCTTGGAAAAGCACCCCTTCCTTGTGGCATCGGCACTCCTTTTCACGGGTGGGGAAGTTCCTCAGAGGCACTTTCAGCACTTGGGGTTAGGCCCCCTGGGTTCACCCCTATGCTTCTGCATCCCTCCAGGTACGCCTTCCATAGCTCCTCCTGGCTGGTGGCGGGGAAAGCAGACCCTGCCACGCCGGGCCGTGTGCACTACCACCCAGACTCGCCTGCCAAGGGTGCGCAGTGGATGAAGCAAATCGTGTCCTTTGACAAACTCAAGCTGACCAACAACCTGCTGGATGACAATGGCCACGTGAGCGATCCCTCCCCAGGCTCCCAGGCTGTCCCTGCTGGTGGGCAGAGGCTGAGCTTGGGTGGTGCTGGGTGGAGAAGAGAAACATGCTGAAGAGAGAGGGCCTACAGTCAGGGATCAGAGGGCCTCGGGTGTCCTTCCCTACACCACTCCTGATCTCATCGAGAGGCTTTTAATGGAGAGGATGGGGCTATGGGTGGGGGCTGGGGGCAGGCAGCTTCCTGCTGACTGAGCTCCACCCCACAGTAACCACTCTTTCCCCCACCCCCAGTCCTGAAGCAGTGGTCAGGGACCTAAGGAAAGAGATCTTTTGCCACTTGGATGTCTTTCCCAGCGGTCACCTCGGGTCACCACCCCTGCTTGGCCCGATGGCCCAGCCTCATGGAGTGAAGGGTTTGCCCCTCTTCTGCGGGAAGTTCATTGACTACTCAGACTCAGCCTCAGTTTCCTGGCTCCAACCAGATCCTGGGCCCAGTCCACCACTGGAGCTGACCTCCTCCCCTTGTCTTCCAGATTATTCTCAACTCCATGCACAGATACCAGCCCCGCTTCCATGTGGTCTACGTAGACCCGCGCAAAGACAGCGAGAAATATGCAGAGGAAAACTTCAAAACCTTTGTGTTTGAGGAGACCCGCTTCACTGCAGTCACCGCCTATCAGAACCACAGGGTGAGGGCCTGCAGGGGCCAAGGGGCAGAGTCTACACTTCTGGGGAAGAGGGTACAATTTTCAGTTGCTGCCTGGAGGACGGAGCACAACCCACTTGGAGCCCTACCACCAAGGGCCTCAAGCAGACCCCTCCCTCCCTCCTGGGCAGGCCGGCCCAGCCTCCTGTCAGCTTGACCTCTCCAGCCACAACTGTCACTGCAGCCTGAAAGTTTGTTTTACAAACCATTCCGGAAACGCCCCATCAGGGGTCTGATCCGAGGCTTACCCAGATTCCTGGGGCACCCGCTCGGTTCCCCCACTGCGCAGTGGGAAGGAGGTGACCACATTCCCCTTCCAGCCAGGGGCACGGGATCTCCATCCCCATTCACTTAGGGCACCGAAGAGAAGCCCCCTAGCAAGCGAGTAGGCTCCCCAGGCCTGCTCCTGCCGCAGGAGGGGGACAAGCTCCGTGGGGGAAGGGCAACACCAAGCGGTCTTTCCGGGAGCGCCTTCCGGGAGCCCCTCTGCATACTCCCCAACCTCCGCGGAGGTCGGCCCGGCCGCGGGGTCCCCGGGCTTGCTCACGCCCGCTTCCCCGCAGATCACGCAGCTCAAGATCGCCAGCAATCCCTTCGCCAAAGGCTTCCGGGACTGCGACCCTGAGGACTGGTGAGTCTTCTCCCAGGGCCGCGCGGGCGCCAGGCGCCAGGCGGGGACGCGCCCTGACCGCCTCCCCCCCGCAGG